TCTTCGACAAAGGAGGCAAGGATATACAATGGCAAAAAGACAACCTCTTTAACAAGTGGTGCTGGGAAAACTGGTCAACCACTTGTAAAAGAATGAAACTAGAACACTTTCTAATACCATACACAAAAATAAACTCAAAATGGATTAAAGATCTAAATGTAAGACCAGAAACTATACAACTCCTAGAGGAGAACATAGGCAAAACACTCTCAACATAAATCACAGCAGGATCCTCTATGACCCACCTCCTAGAATATTGAAAATAAAAGCAAAAATAAACAAATGGGACCTAATTAAACTTAAAAGCTTTTGCACAAGAAAGGAAACTATAAGTAAGGTGAAAAGACAGCCCTCAGATTGGGAGAGAATAATAGCAAAGGAAGCAACAGACAAAGGATTAATCTCAAAAATATACAAGCAGCTCCTGCAGCTCAATTCCAGAAAAATAAATGACCCAATCAAAAAATGTGCCAAAGAACTAAACAGACATTTCTCCAAAGAAGACATACAGATGGCTAACAAATACATGAAAAGATGCTCAACAGCACTCATTATCAAAGAAATGCAAATCAAAACCACAATGAGGTACCATTACATGCCAGGCAGGATGGCTGCTATCCAAAAGTCTACAAGCAATAAATGCTGGAGATGGGGTGGAGAAAAGGGAACCCTCTTACACTGTTGGTGGGAATGCAAACTAGTACAGCCACTATGGAGAACAGTGTGGAGATTTCTTAAAAAACTGGAAATAGAACTTCCATATTACCCACCAATCCCACTTCTGGGCATACACAGCAAGGAAATCAGACCTGAAAGACACATGTGCACCCCAATGTTCATCGCAGCACTGTTTATAATAGCCAGGACATGGAAGCAACCTAGATGCCCATCAGCAGACGAATGGATGAGGAAGCTGTGGTACATATACACAATGGAATATTACTCAGCCATTAAAAAGAATTCATTTGAATCAATTCTAATGAGATGGATGAAACTGGAGCCCATTATACAGAGTGAAGTAAGCCAGAAAGATAAAGACCATTACAGTATACTAACATATATATATGGAATTTAGAAAGATGGTAATGATAACCCCATATGCAAAACAGAAAAAGAGACACAGATGTACAAAACACACTTTTGGACTCTGTGGGAGAAGGCGAGGGTGGGATGTTTTGAGAGAACAACATCGAAACATGTATATTATCTAGGGTGAAGCAGATCACCAGCCTAGGTTGGATACATGAGACAAGTGCTCGGGTCTGGTACACTGGGAAGACCCAGAGGGATCGGGTAGAGAGGGAGGTGGGAGGGGGGATCGGGATGGGGAACACATGTAAATCTATGGCTGATTCAAGTCAATGTATGACAAAAACCACTACAATATTGTAAAGTAATTAGCTTCCAACTAATAAAAATAAATGAAAAAAAATTTCTGTCATTAATATTATTAAAAATTATCTGTACCTTACAGAATTGGTAAAGATATGTCATTACAAGGGTTGAATGTAATTGCAACCTCAGTATCCCTGAGTGTATGGTAGGTTATCACTTTCCAGTGAAATATTTACGGGGATGAGATTATCTGGACTATCACACAATGATTGAGGCAAAGTTTCCTGTGAAATATTGTAGTGGTAGAGGAGAAGGAGAAATAAACAAGGTAAACTTGAATTTTTTAGGACTACCAGCACCTAAAAAAGTGCCTTGTGGATTATAGTTGCAACATAATCCATTTTTAACAAATGATATCAGTGATACTATTCCCTATAATGTCTCCAGTGAGCTTAAGGCCTACTCAGGTGATATCGTAAAGGTACATACACAATTGAATTTTTTTTAAGAAGGGAGAAAAGGGTAAATAAGGAAAAACAGAAAAATCAAAAGCTTCTTTTATAAGCTCTTTTTATGCTGAATATCTCTTAGTGACCTGGAAAAGCCACCATATATATATTGGATGAATATTTCTGCCTTCTCTGAATTTCACCAGACGCTTCTCCCAGGAACAACTAAGGAGGTGTGAGAAGCAGGCTATACAGCTGTGTAGCTATTAACCACAGCGGCACGCATGATTTGATGTCCCCACCCCAGGCACTCATGGCAAAAATGAGCATTTATAATTCATTTCATTACAAAGGGTAGAAAAAGAAAGGAAAGGGGGAAATGTGGAAAAACCCAGAAAAGGAAAGCTTCTCTGCTCACTCTTTAAGAGCCACCCATCACCCCAAGTCCTCAGAACTTGCCTAAACCTCCCTCCAGGCAGCCCTGCAGAGCCCCCAGCATCCCCGTGGCCCTCCCCGTCTCTGTGCTGCTGGCCCTGGGGATGCTCTGCTCCAGCCCCACGTGCTCTCTGGCCTTCGAGCTGCCTGTGAGCCGCAGCAATCTGGAAAGCTTCGCTCGTTGGAGTCAGATGGAGAGTGTCCATCCTGTCCTGTCTGAGGGACAGGACTGACTTCAGATTTCCTCAGACCCTGGTGGACCGGGCCAGGCTTGAGAAGACAGAAGCCACAGCTGCTGTGCACGAGTTGCTCCAGCTGACCTTCCAGCTCTTCAGCACCTCGGGCTCCTCTGCAGGTCGGGACGAGAGCCTCCTGGACAGATTCCTCGTGGGACTTGATCAGCAGCTGGAGGAGCTGGACATGCTCTGAGGGAGGGAAGGATGATGGAACAGTCACCTCTAGGGAGTGAGAACTCCAGATTGGCTGTGAAGAGTTACTTGCAGTGAATCACTGTGTATCTCAAAGAGAAAGAATACAGCTGCTGTGCCTGGGAGATGTCAGCGTGGAAATCAGAAGGAGCTTGTCTTGGCCAACAAGCTCATCGGAAAACTCAGGAAATAAAGAAGACATTGAATCTGAAAACAGTTCATCTGTTCAACTACATGGCTATTTTCTAGGACTCAAAGTGCAACCTTTAACTATTTTTGTGTCAGATGAAAAATATGTGATGGCTAACATATGGGATTATTTAAATGTATATTAAATGTTATGTTACAATAGCTGTTTAAAACAGTGTTTAGAATCCATTTTCCATATCTTTAAAAGTTGTAATATTTATTTATTTAAATTATTGGAAATATTTAGGCTGGTCATAGCATTTAAATCTTTATCGTTCATAAGGTAGTTGTTTTGTATTATACTTTGTAGAAGACTACTATTTGTTTTCAAGTAGTGGAAGTAAAAGTAATTTTAAAAAAGCAAACTGGCTTGCACACACCTTTGAATAAAATCTAACCGAAAGACTGATCCTGCAAGATAAACCTACACTGAAGTCACCTGAATAAAGAGGGAACAGGGTTACCCACCCTGGGCCATAGAAGGAATAAGGGACATTTTGAGGATGGATTGAATGTGATTCTTGAGACATAGATTGGAGGTGGGAGGGAGATGAGTGGAGAAAAGCCCAGGTCATGGACACGGTTGCCCATTTGGGGCCTGTAGGAACTGGAGCGCCTTCAAGGATTAGTGGAGAACCACATACATCATGGGAGGTCAGTCTGCAAATGTAGAATCTAGGATCCTGGAGTAGGATGAGGAAGGGAGAGCAAGTTTTCTACACTTGGCCACTCCTGAGAAAATAGTCCTCCTAAAAACTGTTCCAATGGAGGCAAGAAGAACAAGGTAGGCTGCGGACTGCAGAGACAGCTAAGAGATGTGAGAACCAGCAGCTGCCATGATAAATGTGACTCAAAAGAGGGTTTCTTATGCTTATTTATATATATTAAACACACATGTCATTGCTAAACTTTTAAATAATTTACGCAAACGAATGCCTACCCTTGACATCTAGGAGGATGCACCCTAATCCTATACTGTAAACAATTTAATGGGTATCCTTCTAGACATTTTCATATGTAGTTGATAAACCTACACATATGGACATACTAACATATATCACATAAATATAAATTTTTCATATACTCCAGTTTTTCATTTATTTATATTTACTTGCAAATAGATCTTTACGATTTTTCTTCATTAGTACATAAAAATAGATTGCCTAGTTATAAATTGCTGCATTATCTCTTAACTGCAAAACTAAGATACTCATAAAATCTCCTCTTGAAAGTGTGGTAAGATTAATTGCTTGAATTTGTAGCACATGCTCAGAATGGTACCAGACACTTCCCAAGTGCTCCTTACGTTAACTCTTCTACTTGAATCTGGTTAGAAGATTACTTCCTGACCTTGTGGGTCTGTAGTCAGGAAGATGAGGCAGTTCCCAGAGAGCTGTTCAGAGACAGATTTCTGCAGCTCACCCACTGCACAGCGAGAAGAGAAATAGCCATTCACTGGGATGACGAGGCCAAGCCTGTTGCAACAACACCCAGAGTTCTAGACGGAAACATTCCTACGTGGCACACAGCCCAGCTGCCTACAAGGACTCACCCCCACCCTCACTGGATTCTTGGTTCTCCCTGGAGTTTAGGAGCTTAGAGTTTCAGCCAGGAAGACACAGGCGTCTGGGAGGCAGTCAGGAGGATGCTCTGCGCTGTGTACTCAACCAGGCCAGGAGGGGATTCCCAGCCTGGATACTGAAATCCTGTTTGGCAGCTTGCATTTAGTTTTCCTTTCACTTGTTGCATCAGCTTCGTTGCTGTTTTTGCCTTCTGGGGTTCATTACACAATCTCTGATGATGTAACAAAACTCAAGTCACTTGTAGGCTTTAAGTATGTAGATGGCTTTGCTTTGGGCTGTTTCGCCTTAAAGAAGATTCGGAAACTGCCTCAGAGACAGGAAACTCACCCAGAACTCACACAGTAAGATATGCCCTCATGTCAGCTGGGTGGGGCAGGGGCCTGCTGAGATTTGTTCAACAGCTGCAGCCAACGTGTTGTCCTTTTCACTGTTTTCCCAACCTTAGGTTGGCCTGACTCAATGCACTTCTGACAGTGATTTTGATAATTCAGAGTACAGCTCAGAGAACAACCTGGAATCAGAAGGGAAAAGTAAATGCAGGCTTGATGCAGACAGGCATGTCCTGAAAGGGCCAGTCTGAGTTAGTAGCAGCAGCGGGTCCGGGCAGCAAACACTGAAAACAAGGCATGGGCTGCTCCTGCCTGTTCCTGGGCCATCCACCCTCTGATGGGAGCGTTCTGAGAGTGACAGGGGTGCAGAGTGTAGGATCCTCTGGTTGGGTACGGCCTAGAGGAGTCAGGAGAGTTAGGCAAGGCCCCAACCAAAACACCTAGTCCCAGCTGCATCTGAAGTGAGCAGGAGACACACGGGGCGATGAGTATTGTCGATGGCCTGTGAATGATGACCTCAGTGTGAGGAAAGGGAGGAGAGAAGAGGCTGTGACCAGGGGCCCTTCGATCTCTCTGCACATTGTCCATCTCCACACCCGGTGGGAGGCTGAGGAGGGGCGCTGGCCCCCAGCTGTCGGCTGTGAGCACAGGGCAACCCCGGCCTGGGCAGAGTTAGCCTCAGGTGCTGAGAGAGGGCAAGAGCCGGGCCGCAGCTGGAAGGTGGGAGGACAGGCTCTTCCCTCAAGCTGGAGATGGACTTCCCATCGTGGTCCTCAATCTTCACAGGAGCTCTCTAGGTTGCTGAGCAAAATGTCTTCAGTCTAGTTTGGGCTATCTTTAAATTTATATAAGTAGTATACATTTTCTTCTGAGGTGAGTAGCTTTCAATCACTGCTATATTTGTGTATTTAGTTGTGGTTCTTGCTTTTTATTGTTATTAGTAACCCTATTATCAGGATAGATAAAGTATTTATGCAATTTTAATGGGTATTTGGGCTGCAACTAGTTTGGGACTCTTATGAATATTGCTGATCTGAATTTTCTTTACTTCTATACTGGTGCATATTTACATGATTCTTTCCCTGGGTAACTGCATGGTTGTCCTGCTGTGTTTCTCCACCACAGCTCTCTCCAGGAACTACAGCTTGCTTCGATTCCAACAAAGGAGGAGTGATACCGTGTGTCAGAAACTCCTGCGGCAGTTACCTTCAACTCCTCAACATTGCCTCGAGGTCAGGATGGACTTCCAGGTCCCTGAGGAGGTGAAGCAAGCACAGCAGTTCCAGAAGGAAGATGCCGTATTGGTCACGTATGAGATGCTCCAGCAGATCTTCGGAATTCTCACCAGAGACTTCTCCAGCACTGGCTGGTCTGAGACTATCATTGAGGACCTCCTTGTGGAACTCCAAGGGCAGATGGATCATCTGGAGCCAATCCAGAAGGAAACCATGCAGAAGAAAAACTTCACTAGGGGAGACATGACCGTTCCTCACCTGAAGAAATATTACTTCAACCTTGGGCAGTACCTGAAATCCATGGAGTACAACAGCTGTGCCTGGACAGTCATGAGAGCAGAAATGCTCAGGAACTTTTCTTTCCTCAAGAGCCTAACAGGGTACCTCAGTGACTGAACATCTCCCCACCTGCGGCTCTGGGAATGGACTATGTGACTTTGACCTGAGACGTTTCAGCCAGCAGAGGCTCTAGAAGTAACTGACAATGCAATGCATTGCATTTCAATAGACAGTTAAAAACTGTAAGCTGTTTTAAATGATTTATGCATTATTTACTCATTTAAACATTTATATGGGAAATACATTATTTATGAAACAAAAGTCAACGTGGCAGTTTCCATGTCAACTTGATTTATGTGACAACACATATTAAAAATTGCAGAGCTCCCTGGAGACATTTACTGAAAAACAAGCCTGCAGAATACTAGTTTCCGGCCCCTGCCTTTGAGGAATTTAAAACAGAAGGAAGACATGTGGAATGTCCAACTTACAGGCATACTCTCAATGTATCCGTACAGTTTACCTGCTCTTGTCTCCTTCCCTTCTTTAAAGGTATCAGACAGCTCATGCTGTAGGGCCCCGCTATATGATGTGGGGTTCTTTTGTCTTTTTTTCAACTGGGGGAAAATATACACCACCTTACATTTGAGAGTCTTACAAAGTAAGCCTCTGGATGCCAATAAATCTTGGGCAAATTCCATTCAGTTTGTAAAATTCTTACTACAGAAAAGGAAAAATTCTGACCTTCTACATGTCCTTAGTTTCTTGTACACTTCAACTCTCATTTCCAATACTGTAGTCCTGGGAAAAGGTTTCAGGAACATGAGTTAAACATTACTTAAGATCATCATGTGGTCATTAAAAATTGTCAGACATGGTAATCCCTCAATTAAAAATAAGTGAAAATAATCTTGAAAATATTAACAAGTTTTCATCCATTAAAGATAGAAAACTAAAACTATACTATATACTTGTTTTAGTACAAAGAACATATAGTTTAAATAAAACTTACTAAAATGCTATTGTTAAATATAAAACATATTTCAATAGTCTACACTTAATATTTAAGAAGCATTATATAAATTTATTACAAAGTTGAAAACGTGAACTATTTAATTTAAAATAAGTATATTAATGAAATATAAAACTAATTTAAAAAGTAAAGAGTGTGTTTTTTAAAAAATATTCCTACTTTTCAGCTCTTCAATACTTACTCCCCCACTTTATGGCCAAATACTTAAAAGAAACCCTGAAACTTCCATAGCATTCCAGGGGCCAACAGTTCCCTGGTCCCGTCTTACCCCCAGGAAGTCCCCCAAACCGTCCCACGGTTATTTGTCCCCTGACCGCCGCTGAGTTCTCCGTCTGCAACGCACTCCCAGGGTCCCATCGCCTTGGCTGTTTCTCCCCTTGTCCAAAAAGGCTCCCCCTAGCTCCCCTTGGTGCTCAAGGCCCTCGCATCTTCCCATCTCTCACAGTCTCAACCCAGCGCCGGATTTAAGTACTTCCACACCGAGGTTCCGCCTTCCCAAGCCCATTGTCTCATCGCCTAGACCCGCTTTCACTGTGTCCGCAACGCCGTCCCATCAACTCTCACCGAAGGTCACATCGCTGCCATCGTGTTTCACTGGGCACAACGTCTTTCCATCTTGCCACAGCGAATAGTCTCGTCGCCGCTGTCAGGGTCCCCTGTGTGGACCATACCGTCCACCGTCCGATCGCCCATGGTCTCATCCCCCCGCCGGGTTTAACTCTGCCCTCGACGCTGTCCACCGTCCCACCGCCAGTAGCCTTTCCGCTACCGTCATCTTCCACTTTGTTCTCAAAGGTCTCTCAACGTCTCAAAGCCAAGTTCAGTGAGAAACGGCCTTGTGTGAGAAACGCCCTCCCATCGCCCACAGCCAATAGTCTCAGCGCTGTCACAGTTTCACTTTGAGCACAACGCCCTCCCATCGCCCACAGCCAATAGTCTCAGCGCTGTCACAGAGTTTCACTTTGAGCACAATGCCCTCCCATCGCCCCACAGCGAAGTCTTAACCACCGAGGCATCCACAGCGCAACACCGCCCCCTCGGCCCCATATCCTATTGTCTCAGCGCCGACGCCAGCTTTCACTTTGCCCGCAACACTTTTCCACCTTCTCATTCGCAACAGCCTCAACCCACCGCCCGATTTCAGGTTGTGCACGACGCTGTCCCAGCGTCCCATCGCAAATAATCCCATTCGCACCGTGATCTTTCACTTTTCTTCAGCTCTTCCATACTCCCAACGCCCAGGGTCTCATCCCTACCACCGGGTGTAACTTTGACCCACTCTGTCCCATCGCCCCCGCAGGTCTTCCTGTGCGCGCATCGCCCTCCCGTCGGCCCATTTACAATTGTCCCCTAGCCTATCCCCGCGCTCCACTTTGTCGTCAACGCTGTCGTCAAGTCACATCAGCTGTATTCTCATTGCCACCGGTCGGTATCGCCCTCCCATTGCTTCAGAGCGGAGAGTGTCATCGCGGCCACTGTGTTCCACTTCGGATCCAGCGCCCTCCCATATTCGCACAGTGATTAGTCTCTGAGCCCCCGCCGGATTCCACCGCGTTCTCAACGCCCCACACCTCCGCATCCCCACCCCCTATCCTGGTAAAGCCAATAGTCTCATCAAGGACACTGTGTTCCACTATATTGCAATTTGTGCGGAACACTCACTTCGACTCAGTGGAAATCGTCGGCTAGACACCGCGGATTCTACCTTTTTCGCAATGCCCCTCACCTCCAGAACCCCACGCCAGGTCATAGGAAAGCCAATAGTCTCATTGCGATCACTGTTTTCGACTATGTCGCAATTTGTGCGGACTCTCTCGCAACGACTCACTGGAAATCCTCTCCTAGCCACCCCAGATTCCACCTTTCGCAATGCCCCACAACTCCCCAACACCACAACCGATCCTGGTAAAGCCAACAGTCACATCGGGGACGCTGTGTTCCACTATGTTGCAATTTGTGTGGAACTCTCTCCCATCGATTCACTGGTAATTGTTTCCCAGCCATCGTGGATTCCACCCCTTTCCAAACGCCCCAACCTCCCCACCACCAAGCCCGATCGTGGTAAAGCCAATAGTCTCATCTCGGCCACTGTGTTCCACTATGTTGCACTTTGTGCGGACTCTCTCCCATCGACTCACTGGAAATCGCCTCCTAGCAACCGCGGATTCCACCGTTTTCGCAACGTCCCGCACCTCACCCGCCACACTCCCGACGTGGTAAAGCCAATAGCCTCATCGCCGACACTGTGTTCTACTATGTTGCAATTTGTGCGGAACTCTGGCCCATCAACTCACTGGAAATCGTCTCCTCTCCACCGCGGATTTCACCCATTTCACAACACGCCTTAACTCTCCACCCCAACCCCCGATCGTGGTAAAGCCAATAGTCTGATCGCGGCCACTGTGTCCACAATTTTGCAATTTGTGCGGAACTCTCTCCCATCGGCTCACTGGAAATCGTCTGCTAGCCACCGCGATTCCACCGTTTTCGCAATGCCACGCATCTTCCCACCACCACGCCCAATCGTGGTAAAGCCAATAGTCTCAACGCGGCCACCGTGATCCACTATTTTGCAATTGGTGGGGAACTGTCTCCCATCGACTCACTGCAAATCCTCTCCTAAGCATAGCGGATTCCACCGTTTTCGTAACGCCCCGCACCGCCCCACCCCACCCCCGATCGTGGTAAAGGCAATAGTCTCATCGCGGACACTGTGTTCCACTTTAGACCCAACGCCCTCCCATAGTCGCACAGCGAATATTCTCTCAGCCCCCGCAGGATTCCACTGTGTTCCTAACGCCCCTCACCTCCTCAACCCCACCCCGGGGCATAGGAAAGCCAAATAGTCTCATCGCGGTCACTGTGTTCCACTATACTGCAATTTCTGTGGCACTCTCTCCCATTGACTTACTGGAAATCCTCTCTAGCCATAACGGATTTCACCGTTTTCGCAATGCCTCTCACCTCCCCACCCCCACCCCCGATGGTGGTAAAGCCAATAGTCACGTCGCGGACAATGTGTTCCACTATGTTGCCATTTG